CTATCCCTTCCTCTCTGTAAAAAATCAATAAAATATATTTTAAAAAAAATTAAAATCTAAAAAAAAAAATGTAGTGGGGACTTTGTTGTACTCAAATGCCCATTGAATTAGTGTACCTTTTCTGCAAAATGATGGAAACTTTTTGAAAGTAAAAAGGCTGGGTTTTGTATGTATGTGCTTGTGAATTTTTTTCTTTCCATAGCTAGAGAAGTTGAGGTAAGAACTTAATATTCACCAAAAATGGATTTTATTAATGACCAAGGAATGATGAACAACTCACAGAAAACAGCATTTGAGAAGTTGAGAAGATTGGCTAACAGTTCAAAGCAAGGGGTAGTCCCTGTCCAAGCTGGGTCCTAAGTAGAGGTCATCTTCAAATCCACATAGTGGATCTGACCAGTTCATCTTACTTTCACATCCATGATATGAAGGAGTCAATCCCTGGCTGAAACTCCTCTAGAGCAATGACAAACATTCATCACAACCCAGCTGAACCTGTACCAGGTGAATGATTGCCCCAAGGGCAAATTGAAGGTTTCTAATTGGGCTGACATTCGTGTGAGTTTAGAACACAAACAAACCAACTCCTGCTCCAACAGGCCTTCCCAGAGAGCACCAGCCACCACAGACGGAAGCCTCTTACACACACACACACACACACACACACACACACACACACACACACACTGTCTAGATTTATCAGCTCAAGAAGGATGAAGAGGCTCTAAATCTATAGTCTCAAACACAATACCAAGCCTAGCAAAGATTCTGAGATTCCATGAGAGAGTTGGTATTTTTCTGAGTGAATAAAAGCATAGGATGGCCCAAATGGGATACAATGGCAATGGAAGGATTCTTTATGAAATTGCCCAAGGAAAAACGGAAACTCCAACTTTCTCTAGTAGCATGTACTTACGAGGACTGATTTAATAAAAATACTGCCCAGCTATAGTATTTTGTAAAATAATGTTATACTAGTTTTAACTCAAAAGAAACAGGCTTCAACCATGTCTTTCCCTAGCCCTAGGCAAAATTCCCCAGGAATAAGACTCTTTAGTACTATAGTCTACTTAAATTGCCCTTTGCTCCACCCTACCCCCACTACATACACCCTTAGGTGTATAGCTAGATGGGAGGCAGGAACTTGCTATTATTTTCATGTAATCTATATATGAATAATACCTGGAACATTACACTTTTTTCCCTCTCCAGTGATAATTATCATTGCCCCAGATCTCTCCTCCGTGAGAAACATCCAGAAGAGCCAGGGTAATTACTGGGCAGGGTGGGGATATATGGGAAAGGAGAGAACAGGGCCCTAGAAATCCAAGTAGATTAGTCCAATAGATCCACCTGATGAGATAAAAAATGAACACCTATTGATATTATTTATGACAAAATTTGTTTCATTAAAAAAAATTGCTCTGGGTTCCCTTGTGCCTATGGGTCAACTAGCCCAGGAACACTCTGGGTCCACCAACACTTGATTTTCCAAAGAAGCATGGAAGGACAATTAGAAAAGCAATGAATTTATTCAGCCTTTGGTTTTACCTGTAAAATGATGACTCTAATTGTGACTCTTACCTTATTTTTCCCACAGGACTGATGAAATTAAGAAGATGACTTGATAAAACTCACCAGGTAGCTTAGATGTATGTGTCATAGAACACTAGATAACAATCACAAAATGCAAGATATATTTCTCTAATATGATCATTTGCCTATGACAAATGAGAACTTCCCTAGTCTGTAAACAATGTGCAAACAGTCTTTGAGCCAGCATAGAAAGGGTTTCTGAAATTATGGCTACTAGCTCACAGACTGGAAATGTCTGAGGCTGCAGAATGGAAGGAAAGAGAAATAAAATTAAGCAGTCTTTTGAGGTAGAGCCTGCTTCTAAGGGATAAGGGCAAGAATTATTATAAGGAAAGGAGGCCCTCAAAGCCAAATTCAAGGAATATATCTTCATTCTCTCTTCCCCTCTCCCCAACACATACCAAGATCAATTCCCCCCTGAGGACCAAATGGAACTTGGACCTAACACCCACACATACTTTCTGTTACATAGATGTACACACATAGAGGCACTTTGGCAATCAGAGTTGCATTCAGAACAGGCCCATACAGACATTCAGAAGATAATAATGAACAGATAAGTGGACACACACACTGTGTAGACATGGGTTGGGTAGATATATTTGGGGAGTAGTGATAAATAATAACACCCTTCTCATCCACTCCCAGGTTTAGGACCAATTGAGAGACACAAGAAGCAGAAAGGCGGAGATGAAAAAAATATCTGTTTTGCCTGGCTGGTGTGGCTCAGCAATTGAGCATCGACCCAGGAACCAAGAGATCCCCGGTTCGATTCCTAGTCAGGGCACATGCCCAGGTTGCAGGCTCAATCCCCAGTGGAGGCCATGCAGGAGGTAGCCAATCAATGACTTTCTCTCTCATTGATGTTTCTATCTCTTTATCCCTCTCCCTTCCTCTCTCTCTAAAAATCAATAAAATTACATTTAAAAATATCTGTTTATTACTGTTAAAAACTGGATTGGAGGACATGGAATATATAGAAAGCCATAATAAGCTTTCTAATACTTTTCTCATTTAACTAGACAGAATTACCAACTGATCCAGGAGTGGGGAAAGAAGCCAAGAGAGTTATTCTAACAGAAGTACTCCCAAATGGAAACACGGAGAGAACAGAATGGAGGACTCCAATCCCTTCCCACCGCTGCTTAAAAAGGAGAGTATGACAGAGACATGATTAATCAAGTTATCATGAATGCATTTCCAGCGTCCCTGCTTTGAAATCCTGGTTTTACCACTTCTTGGCTCAGTCTCCTCAATTGGAATAAGTTAATTATACCACTTTTCAGGGTCATTGTAATCATTGCCAATAATGTATGGAAAGTGCCTTGCATAGTGCCTAGCATTTAGCAATTGTTTCTCAATCTAGGACAAATTTAACTCACTGAATGAATATTGTTCTGTTGAAACATTGTTTCAATAAATATGTAAGCACTTTAAAAGAACAAATGTTATGACCATACTACCCAAAGTGACCTACAGATTCAATGCAATCCCTATCAAAATTCCAATGGCATTTTTCACAGAAATAAAAATCCCAAAATTGACATGAAAATGCAAAAACTCCCAAATAGCCAAATAAATCTTGAAAAAGAAAAACAAAGCTGGAAGCATTATACTTCCTGATTTTGAACTATTTTACAAAGCTATAGTAATCAAAACAGTATGATACTGGTATGGAAACAGATATATAGACCAATGGAAGAGAATAGAGAGTTCAGAAATAAACCCAAGCATATGTTGTCACCTAATCTTTGACAAGGGGAACACACAATGGGGAACAGATAGTCTCTTCAATAAATGGTGCTGGGAAAACTATATATCCACATGCAAAAGAATGAAACTGGACCCCTATATTACACCACTCATAAAAATGAACTAAAAATGAATTAAAGGCTTAAATATAAGACCTGAAATTGTAAAACTCCTAGAAGAAAAACATAGGGGGAAAACTTCATGGCATTGGTCTTAGCAATGATTTCTTGGATATAACAACAAAAGCACAGGCAACAAAAGCAAAAATAAACATAAGTGGGATTACATTAAACTAAAAAGCTTTTGCATGGAAAAAAGGAGAAGAAGAAGAAAAGGCAAAAGCAACCTAGAGAATGGAAAAATATTTGCAAGCCATATATCTGATAAGGGTTTAATATCTCCCAAAAGCAAATAACTTGATTTAAAAATGGTCAAAGAATTTGAATAAGCATTTTTCTGAAGAACACATACAAATGTCCAACTGGTTTATGAAAAGATGCTTAGCATAAGTAATAATCAGGCAAATGCAATGCATGTCATATCACACCTGTTAGAATGGCCATTGTATATTAAAAAAACACAGAAATCCATATTAACAAGTGTTGGCAAAGAAGTTGAAAAATTGGAATCCTTGTTGGTGTGAATGTAAGATAGTGTAGCCAGTATGAAAAACAGTATGGAGGTTACTCAAAAAATTAAAAATAGAACTACCATATTCCATCAATACACATCTGGGTATTTATCCAAAAGAATTTAAATCAGGATCTAGAAGAGATATCTGCACTACTGTGTTCATTGCGTCATTACTCACATAAGCCAAGAGGTGGGAACAAACTAAATGCCCATTGACCAATGAATGAATAGAGAAAATATGGTATATACACACAATGAAATATTATTCAGTCTTTTTTTAAAAAGGAAATACTGTTATGCTACAACAGATAAAACTTGAGAACGTTATGCTAAGCAAAATAAGCTAGTCTCAAAAGGACAAATATGGCATGATTTCACTTATATGAGGTATCTAAAGTAGTTAAATTCATAGAAGCAAAAGTAGAATGGTAGTTGCCAGAGGCTGGGGAGACGTAGAAATGGGTATTGCTATTCAAGGTGTATGAAGTTTCAGTAATACAAGTTGGAAAAGTTCTAGAGACCTGCTGGAGCACATTGTGCATATAGTTAATAATACTGTGCTGTAAACTTAAAATTTTAAGAGAATAGATTTCATGTTATCTGTTATTTTTTTTACCAAATTAAAAAATGTATTTTTTTTTTTTTACTAGAGTAAGGATTCTGAAGTTAGGGTTCTATAAGCCTCAGACCAAACTGTATATAACATTGGGAGATTCTGTGAGGCCTTCTAGAGGTGAGATTGTATAGCTTTCATTAGAATGTCAATAGAGTCCTTAATTCAGAGAGGCGCTCAAGACACTGCTATGAGGAATATTTGAGTTTACAAAGGGTCCATCTAAGAAAGTTTTTTTTAAAGTTCAGAGAAGCACTGATAGTTCAATCTTCTTTCTTCCCAAAAGGTAAACCCGTTGATAGAGTCCTAATGAATAATAGACTCTTTGTGAGGATGTGTTTTTTTTTTTAATGAGGTAGAAGTAAACAACCTGTTTTTAATTTCTCTTTCCCTGTTTCTGCTGATTGGCCTTTTGCCCACCTACTCTGTTTGCTCCTTTTAAAAAACCCTTTGTGATCCTTCTTAACTTTTAATATTAGCATAATCTAAGCTTCTATCTACATCCCCATTTTCATATCATTCTGATATCCCTGAATGAGATGATCCTCTCCAAATGGCTTCAACTATAATCCAAAAGTATATTATTAATCACCACCTCTCTCTTGATATGGAGTTTCCTATTTCTACCTGCTTACTACACTTCCTACCTTTTTCCCCACAGGCAATTTTACATACTTTAGGTGAACTAATTATGTTTGCTGGACACACACAAATATACCCATGGCCTCCTCTCCACTGCTTTAATTTCACCTGGTTCATCTCCATCATCAAGCCTTTGTTTGCACATCTACCATGTTTAGACACTTGCCAGGAAATAGTCACAGAATTTGCAAACTGTAGAGGAATTTAAGAAATCAAATAGCTCAAGCCCTTCAATTTACAGAAAGGGGGAAAGATCTGCTTAATATCACACAGCATTTAATGGCAAATCCAGCTTAGAATCAAGACCCCTCAAGTTCTACCCAGTACCCTACATAAATGATGAATCATGCTCCCACTAGCTGTGCTTCTAGGGAAGAATGAGATCCCTGCTACTAGCAGTGATTTTTATCAGTAAACAAGCAACATTATCTAGCCACCCACTATTTAAAAAGTCTACTAGTACTTGTGTGCTGTTTGTACCAGGGGTTAGGTAATTTATGTTCTTCTGCTGAAGAGAGGTAAAGGACAAACCAAAGAGTACAACAAGACATCAGCATGGAGTTAGTTTTAGAATGAAAATAGATTGGTTCACTTTCATAATACGGTTGTGAGGATTTTTACTTATTCCTTTTCAAAGTGTTTTCATATGTATTATTTCATTTTAGTCTTCAACAGGCCTGGGTGGTAGGGAGGTTGGGGCTTATTAGCTGAAATTTACAGATGAACAAAAGGAGACTGAAAACAATTTGTCCAAGGTCACTAATGTAGTTGGTGACAAGGCCAGGGCTCACATGTATGACTACTGCTTCTAAATCTCTTTCCTCTAGTCTAGACACATAATTCTAGTAGACCTTGAGTGATGACTGCATATCCTGTGAACTGAACTTTACAGATTTTAATATGCTGAGACTGAAACATGCTGAGTTCTACCAAGTGACAATCATAGAGCTAGGAGTCTTATCCCCAAAAAGCGGGGGGGGGGGGGGGGGGGGGGGGGGCTGAGTTTCAAGATGGGACAGAGCAAATGAATGTTATGTAATAGGTTGACACACAATTAAGAATCAACAAACTGAGATGCTATTTTCTCAAAATTTCTGCTCTCTAGTAGGGGAAATGAAAAAAAAATGATCATGATCAAAATTATTTTTGCAGATCTAAAACTCTGAAGGTGATTTTCCATTTGATTCATCTCAGAGGACTTTTAAAAAGTGGGCTATAGACACCTAAACTGCCATTTTATTTAAGAAAAGTCAGGTCAACATCATATAATGCAGACAGTTCAGAAGGCTGAGAAGGATTGGGGGAGGGATTGCCTGTGAGAAACGTTTCAGTGGCCTGCTGGGGCACAATGCAGGCCAAAGTGTGTTGAAGAGGCAGTGACAGGTAAGAGAATAGAAGCAGAGAGTTGAAACCTTGCCTGCAGAAAGCTGTCTGTGGAAGGGAGGGTGCCACAGTGTGTTTCTTGGCAATGAAGAAGATGCTGCACAAGAAGAGGGCAAGAGGCTGGAGGAAGGAGAGTGGAAACATCCTGTTGAGTCACAAATGAGTTGTCAAAACTTTCCCTGCTAGTGGGAAGACCTTTAAAAACTCACTCCAGAAACGACACCCCAGAAAGGAATGGTAACATGCCCAGGTCAAGAATGAGAAGTCAGCATAAGATTTAGTAACAAATACACTTTTTGAGGCGAATACTGTGTGTGTGTGTGTGTGTGTGTGTGTGTGTGTGTGTGTGTCTTGGGGGGCTCCTGGTCTACGAGCCCAGTGTGAACAGATGAGCAGAGATGTTCTGGGCCCTGCCTAAAAGCTGATTGTTCCAAAAGGCACAACATTGTTAATTGGCCAGCTTATCAATGGATGCTCTTTCCTGTAGGTTTGTTTAGGAGTGGAAACAATACTGCTAGTCATAAAGTTTGCTGATTCCTGGCTTGGTCATCTCAGTGGGGCAAGTGCAAGGCCGTGCCAGGAACTCCAGATGACTGGAACATACACAAGCACAGTGCTACCCATAGACGCCAGCACTGAGCCGGGGTGCGGCTGAGCCCGAGCAGGGGGCATCCTCAAAGTGCTTCTTTATTTAAACTATGCTCCAGGGCAATGTTTCATAATGACCCTACACAC